AGGCCCTGTGGAGAGCAGGGAGACCGAAGAAGGCGGGAAGCTCGGGGGGGGGCGGCTACCGTGGGGGTGGGGCGCCAGAAGGACAACAACGCCCGGGAAGGAGCAAAGAACCGGCAGCAGGTGGCAGAGACAGGCAAGCAGGGCTGGCTCAAGAGACAGCGCAACCAAATGCCCTGGCACCTGAGGGACAAAATCCGACCAGCATCTCTTCTCCTTCCTGGCAGTAAAAAGGCAACCACAACAATAAAGAAGAACAAGCCAACGATTTGCTACGCTTTTGTGTCACCGCTTTCTGAACTGGCCGGCTCTTCCTCTCTTCTATAAGTTAGCCTTGCAAACAGAGAAATACTGAAGGCTCAAGGGTTGAACTCATTGGAGCCTATAGTGGCACCAGGCATTCTGCAGGGCATCTGTAGTTCACGTGTACATCAGAGTCTGAGTGGTCTGAACTTCCAGTTCAGTCAGTAAAGAGAATAAGGTCAAGAATAAAATTTATCTATATCTATACCCTAAACCACATGCTAATTGGAACCTAGTAACTGACTTCAACACAGTTGGTAACCTAGTCCCAACTTGTCTGAAAGTTTCTAGTGAATTTCAAAGGAGCCTTTTTCCAGGGAACAAAAATCTTTGTATCTCTGGTTTGAATCAGAAAAAAAATACATTTGTATCAAGGTTTCTGTGCTTTGGTGTGCTTACATTGACAACCATATAGCCTTAGTTAAACCATATAGGACTCATTGGAACAATATAACTACTACTGTTTGCAATTGCATTTAAAGATCAGATGGAGCTACTAAAGCAATACCTTAAAGAGAGACTCAGGTTTTTATTACCTCCCTTAATAGAGGACAATTACATATTCCAATTAAAATGGAAGCCTCTGCATTTTTTGATGCTTCCTCAGAAAAAACATATGAAGCAATCTGTTTAATGCTGAAAAGGCAGAAGAGTTCCCACCTACAGCTGACTTAGTAATATTGTATTTTAACATGATTTGATATGAATGTAATAGCCGGAATGCAGATAACAGAGTAAGAGAATGCAAAAGATTGGGGACACAAAGGACCCTTCAAAACTAGTACGACTCTTATATCACTTGATGTTTTAATCTTTTAACCCATACTTGATTTCAGAACAGATGTCCAAGAAAAAAACACAGAAGGCTATAATGGAAGGGTGTGTGAATACAAACTCCCATGATTACTGTATCCTTTTTCTCCTTCTTCAAATGAGTAGCTATGATGAGAAAAAGAGTGAGTCCCCATACTGACATTTTTTAAAGAGATGCTTGCCTATCCAACATCAAATATCCTCATTCTAGCTGATATACCTATCTCAAACTCAGTTTTTCATACCTGAGTACATTTAAAGCTAGAGCAGAATCAAATATTGTTTGAAATATTCTTTCAACTTATATACTGCCCCATAGTGCTAGAGCACTGTCTGGGAAGTTTACAACATAATTATGCAAGAATCACTTTCCCACCCACCCCCCAAGCTGGGTACTCATTGGCACTAACATGGGAATGACATCAAAAACTGTATGCATTTAATGAATGCTCTCGCTCCCCTGTTACATGCTGCAAAACATTTACTGTACATGGAATAGGATGTTATGCACTTCCCTATTTTGTTCAGATGCAGTTAAGATTATGGAGGGCCAGGGATGACTCAAACTGTTTTAGTGCTTGAAGGAGCAAAAATGCCCTTCTGTTCTATGTTCAGAAACAAAACTGGGTTGGTGATCAGGAACAAGCCAAGACGTTTTGCCACCTGGTCCATTGTGCCCAAGTCCAGTCACAAAATCCCATAAACACTTCTCCCCATTCCTGAAAGTAAAACAGAGTAATAATAAATGAACAAGGAGATTGCTACCTCTTTGTGACAAGCTAGCCACCTTATTTTGCCTAACAGTGGCCATGTGAGTAATATGGAAAGATACAGTGTGATACTGCCACAAAGTACTGTAAATGTGTTAAGAAGACATAAACATGGTCTCTTAATAATATTTTTGTGTGACCTGTAATGTACAGTTTTATTGTAAGATTTTTACTCCACTTAAAATTGTTTGGTTTTGTTCTTCCTTTTGGGATAACAAAAAACCAATTAAATCCTAGGTATAAAAATAAGGGACGTGGTGGCGCTGCGGGCTAAACCGCAGAAGCCTGTGCTGCAGGGTCAGAAGACCAAGCAGTCGTAAGATCGAATCCACACGACGGAGTGAGCGCCCGTCGCTTGTCCCAGCTCCCGCCAACCTAGCGGTTCGAAAGCATGCAAATGCAAGTAGATAAATAGGGACCACCTCGGTGGGGAGGTAACAGCGTTCCGTGTTTAAGTCGCACTGGCCATGTGGCCATGGAAGATTGTCTTCAGACAAAACGCTGGCTCTATGGCTTGGAAACGAGGATGAGCACCGCCCCCTAGAGTCAGACACGACTGGACAAAAATTGTCAAGGGGAACCTTTACCTTTACCTTATAAAATAGAACTTTATAAGTATTATGGATATAGCCACTGATCCATGCCGTGAGGGAGCAGGCTGGGTAGGTGGGGCTTGTCAGCCTGGGAAGGCAGCCCATGTAGGAGAAGGAACGTCTCTATAACTGGCGGTATTGTCCTTTGAGGGGGGAAAAACAATGTGTCTTATCTCACCTTGAAGCCTAACAAGTTTTATTTGATCTAAGCTTCTGTGGACTGTGGCATACTTCTTGAACATGTTCTAGATTATCTTTCCTGGTTTCTCTCCCTGGAGGCACCGTGGGGATTCAAACTCTGCTCCAAGGAGCACCAACCCACTGAGCTATATCTTGAGCTCATATTCTCTTTTGGGCAGTGGCAAAAGATACCCACATATTCAGACAAGTTTTCTCTACCAGATGGTATTGAATTGTTTGCAGTGGGGTAGTCTCCTCTTATAGCGGACATTATTCTGGGCAAGCGGGTGCATACTTTTGCCCAAATGGCCCAAAGATCATTGTGAATGTACAGTCCCAGTTCTTTATTCTCTTCTGTGTGTTTTGACAGTTAATTCCCATGAGAAAACACACCTGATAGTGTACCTGCTACGTATGATATTGCCTTGCACCTGCAAAAAGAAGGCATTAGGCCAGTCACAATTTGCCATCTGGTAGACTCATCTATTTTCCCCTCAAGTGCCCTTTCCACATGGTCCTCTCTAAAAGGCAACACACTGGGCTGTGATAATGTGAAGCCAGCTGGAGATGATGGTCCTGTTCCTTTTTTTACCAAGTTTTGAAGAGGTAGGTCACTTTGATCCTTGATTCTTAAATATTAGGTGTGGAACATATGGTGAGATAGAACTCTCCACTTGAATAATCTTTTCTGTCTTAGAAAATAAAGGAGACAAAAAACTATCGGGGAAAGGAATAGTTGAACTCAAAATTCCTAGTTCCCTCATGCTCCCAACCTTTTTCATTGTTTCATCTCCTGCTGTGCGAAGGAAATGAAAGAGAGGGAAAGAGTCTACCTTGCTAAGAGTCAAGAGAGCGAAAGAGAGAGAGTGCCTTGTGGAAAAGTGGAGGAGTCACTTGCTTTACTTACCATTGGGGATTTATATATATTGCCTTATCTGAATCCTTTGTCAACCCCCTTTTTCTTCTTGTCTATAGATTATGCAGTGAGTTCCAGCGTGCAAACGTGTGCAAGCTGTACAAGCTAGTCTCAACCCAGCTGCACCCTTAAGAACCTGACCAACTCAAAGGCCAATAAGAAACAATTTACCAAAATATGAGAACTAACTAGAGTGGAAGCAAGACCCTCCCCCAGGTCCATCAGAAGAGATCCAAGTTGCTGTTCCTGCAGATAAGAAGCCTAGGTTTGAGTCCGAGGGTCTGCCTATGCAAGGGGGGTTGGAGCAGTCTGGTTCACACTTAAAAGGTAGTTCTCTTCAGTGTGTTCTACTTTATCTCTCACTTGAGCAATCTTTCTGTTCATACCATTTATTCTCCTGTGAGAAGGGTCCACACAGGTATCTGAATTGTCAGTTTATTCATGAATTAGCTTTGCTCAGATTTCTCATGAGCAAAGAGGTGACAGTACAGTGACACTGTGCAAGCTTGCAGTTGTGGTCATATTAGCACAAGGGGAATACGGTGGAGTGAAGGCTGGGGAGAGAGAGAAGGGAGGAAACTTGTCCTTGCTTTTCCTGCCTTTCTTCCCAGCCAGGGCTCTGCAGGGCTGTGCTGCTTTGTGGGTGTGGAGCCCATGGAGCTGACATAGTCTCCTTCCTCACCTTTTCTTGCAGCCATCATTCAGCCAGCTGCAGTGGCTTTCCTCCCCCCGCCCTGTATATTAATTAAAATAAGTGGCATATTGAAAGAGCAATGCATTAACCTGGCATGGTATTAAAATTGTGCCATGTCAATTAGGAAAATATTTTTTTAAAGATGATCAAAATAGAGAATGGGGTTTCTCAGTCTTCCCTTTTAATGCCACAACCCACCTATTACATCACAGGGTTGTCACTGTAGATAATGCCACCCACAGGTCCATTTGGGTCTGCACAGACAACACAAGAAGCTAGCTAGGACCATGCTGAATTGTACCCAAAAATATACATGCCTTTCTGCTATGCCAGAAAGGTGTGTGACTGTTCTTAAAGGGGCAGGATGGA